TGGCGGGGGGGGCGAGCGGGTCCCGGAGCAGAGTTAGGCGCTGCCTAAGGGAGGCTGGGCGAGGTTTGGGGCTCGGCATTGCCAGAGGCACCGGGCTGAAGTCGTTGCGACTTTAACCCTCGGGCGAAGCCCCCACCCGCTCCCATCCCCTCTCGAGCTGCTTTTCACCGAGCGCTTTCCTCGGCGCCTTTTGGGATAACTTTCCTCGCACGCTGCATCCTCTGCGGTCGGGGGGAGAGCAGAAGTTGCCATTTTACACCTGGCTTGGCTTTTCCCTCCAGCGGTCCCCCTCTTCCCGCAGGTTTCCCGGCTCTTCCCTCCGCTCCGCATCCCTCCAGCGGGGCTTCGGCCACGGCTGCCACCGGCGGTGGCACCCGCTCAGCCGTGCCACGCAGCAGCGCAAAAGGCTGGGAGGAAAACTGCCCGCCTGGGCACGGAGCATCCAGGGCGGGTTTGGTTCGGGCTGACGGGAGGGACCCTTCCCAGCTGCCAGGGGTGCTGCTCTCTCCTCCCTAGGGTGCTGGAGAGGGAAGGGCTGCTGAGGTCTCTGCCCCCCCCCGGGGGGGAGCCTGCTGGTTTCCCTGTTTTGCAGACCCCTAGGAAGGAAGGAAGGAAAGGGGGAAAGAAAAAGAGAAAAAAGAGAGGAAGAAAGAGAAGAAGAAAGAAAGGAGAGAAAGAAAGAAAGAAAGAAAGAAAGGAAAGAAAGGAAAGAAAAGGAAAGGAAGGAAAGAGAAAGAAAGAAAGAAAGAAAGAAAGAAAGAAAGAAAGAAAGAAAGAAAGAAAGAAAGAAAGAAAGAAAAAGAAAGAAGAGAAAGAAATAAAGAAAAAGAGAAAGAAAGAAAAAAAGAGAAAGAAAGAAAAAAAAAGAGAAAGAAAAAGAAAAGAGAAAGAAAGAAAGAAAAAGAAAAAGAAGCACCGCATAGAATCATTTAGAAAAGTGTTTGGCGTGGAAGCTCAACACAGAATACGGAGCTGAAGGAGAGATTTTTAGATGGTGGTATCAATGGGAGGATTTACAGAGAGGTTTTGCTTCGGTAGGCACACAGTATTTCAGATTAGCAACTGTCTTAATTATTTGAGCTCCGTGCTGCTGCTGCAATTTGTTGCTGCCTTTTCTGCTTGGCTGTGTGAGAAGGCAGGCGAACCCCACTCGGTTCTGTTCCCGCAGGATTTCCTCTTTTGTAGTTCATTATCAGGCCGCTGGGCTGATTTGAATCTAACTTTTTCGCTCGTACGCTTGCACCGTCTTCTAGAGAGTGACTCCTTCAAGGCCCCGGCGCACCGGGACGGGCTCGGTTTGCTTTGTTTATCCAGAAGTCGCGCTCCCGTTCGCAGCGAGGCCCGGGCGGTTACGGTGCGGGCTGCCCCAGCGTTCCCCCCCAGGGCCGGACACCTTCCTCCTCCTGATGCGGAAGGACGAGGGGATTGCGCTGAGGCATAATTTTCCAAAACATGCGAGGGTTTACAAACCTGACAAACAAAGTGGGGGTGAATTCGGGTCAGGTGTTTGCTTATACAGTACATCGTATGCAAGTCGTGACATTTCATTTAAGCTTTGTTTATCCGAGGGCCTGGGCAACGTAAGGCATGCCTGGCGTGTGTTACGCTTCCCGTTCCATAAAGCTGTGCTTGTCCGCAGCAATTCTGATGTAATTCACAACTGGTGACTTAGGGACAAGAAAGCGTCGCGACGTGTTCTGAAACCGCCTCTCCTGAACGCGGCGCCGGGAAGATGAATTACTGCAGGCACGAGACCCGTGTAGGAGCTTTATTAGTTTTGGAATGCAATCAGCAACACTTGCTTTCTTAGTCCTTTACCTAATTATCCTCATTGCATATGTCACATACACCGAGAGCAGCCAGGAGGAATTTATGTCTCGGGCAGTCAGAGCCGGAAAATTTGTGTTTTATGTGATTTTACCCTTCTGACTTGTCTTTAGTGGTGGAAATCCCGGTACTGGCTGCACGCACAGAACTGCTTCGGACGTACCTGTGGCTGATTTTTTATGTATAAGTAAACCCACCGCTGCATAATCTGCACTTGCTGAAATGTTAGCCCTAAGTAACCTTTACAGCTGCTTACGGTGCGGAGGGAGATGTTGGTATTCATGAATGTTTTGACATATTTGACATTTTCTATATGGTGCGCTCTTTCTCTCTTTTTCTGATTTCCTCCTCTCTTTGCCCCCCTGTTTTCGTAGCAAATCGTCGCCGTCGCCAGACCACTGGGGTGGTTTGGAGGCAGAAGGGTGGCTCTGCAGAGAAATTTAAGCTTTGTGGTTGGTTTTGCTTTGGGTTTTATTTATTTATTTATTTTCTTTCAAAGTATGTGTCTAGGTAAATAATGGGATTATTGCATTTCAATGCGGTGCGGCTATGGCCGGCAGCGCTCGTTTTGACAGAAGAGGTGATTTGTGTTCTCCTGCGAAAGCAGCGCGGCTGGCATACGGAGCTGTAGCCATCCGAAGGCACGGGGTTTCTGCGGAGCTGGAACGTCTTTATTTATTTATTTATTTTCTTTCAAAGTATGCGTCTAGGTAAATAATGGGATTATTGCATTTCAATGCGGTGCGGCTATGGCCGGCAGCGCTCGTTTTGACAGAAGAGGTGATTTGTGTTCTCCTGCGAAAGCAGCGCGGCTGGCATACGGAGCTGTAGCCATCCGAAGGCACGGGGTTTCTGCGGAGCTGGAACGTAATGTGGGTGCGATATGAATCTATCAGGTTTGTCGCAGCCCCAGCGAGGCAGCCCTGCCTGAGTCAGCAAGGGGGCCCGGGGGTGCTGGAGTTTCCAGTGCAGGGTCTCCTGCAAGGTGGAGCACGCGCCAGGCCACGGAACGGCCGATGGTGAAACTGATTTTGGATATGACTAAGCCTCACGTCTATTCGGGTCATTTCTAATTTTCATCAACATCTGCACAGGGTGTTCTGTACGAAACCGAACCTCGTTAGTAAAGTTGGGGCCTTCGCCACGATGAGCTTCCGTAACGCTGGCCGGGCCTTTGGCCACCTCGCGTTTTCCTGCCCAGCTCCCTCTTGTACGATCCAGAATGTGGGGAGGGTTCGATGCAGAAGAATGTTTCTATTTAGGGGAAATGGTGCCGGGACAACTTCTGCACGCAGGCACGCAGTTTTTTTCGTTTTTCGGTGGGACCCGAGCCTGGCTCCTGCGACTCACAGCAGCGGTGGTGATTGCAGCTGGTTTTCGGCAGGCAGCGGTCGCTGCTGTGTGTGCTGGGTTAATGCTCTAAATCGCAGCACTTCAGGTTTGGTGATTGAAGTAATGCTTTTAATAGGCCAAATCTGCTCTACAGCACTGGCAAAAATAGCTTTTAATGCTTGTTGCATA